CTGTATGCTGTGATCGAGGATGACTTGTGATTAAAGCTGGTCAAAAAAAATAGGATGTGTCAGGAAATATTCCAAATATGTCAGTCACTGTTGTTCTGCAGGTCTCAAAAAGGGACAATTTTTCATTTATTCAAAATTTTTCATGACAATTGTTGTTGAACATTTTTAGTTTAAAAAAATGTGTGTGTGTTCTTTCCTTCTTCCTTTATTGTCGCCGAAAAAGGGAGGGAAAAGAAAAAAGAAAACCTGAGGCCCAATTTTTTGTTTTTCCAATTTTGTTGAAAAAAAGGAAATCTCTTTAAAAATTTAACTTCTTTACAAAAAGATTCTATTTTTTATAAAAGGCTGTTTTTGATCACATAATATTCAGTTGTAAAATGTCAATCAGCTCCACTCTTGTGTAAAATGCAAGCTGTGTGGTTTCATCAACAGGGAGGCACTACTTACAAAAGAAACTGATGATGGTTTTGCAAGAACTTGACACTGTAGAGGCCAATAACACTACTGTTGCACTCTTCATTGGAAATCATGTACAATCTAATTAACTGAGACCTGGAACCGTCCAAGGGCAAAACTGAAAAACGATTCAGAGAAGCTACAGATCATTTCAATTTCTTAGCTAATGACTGATCCTGAATGTAACAAGCATAGGTTGGGCATAGAAGAGAAGATGAATGGATGGAACACAATTTTCAGGGCCTTCCATCTCCTCTCGCATTCAGAATTGAAGATGCCAACTTCTGCCCCATGACTGTATTTGGGAAGGAGGTTTCACCACAGATTGTTGCATCAAAATAGTGGGAAGTTTTGACAGTAAAATCATGAAAGACAAGACAATGGGATTTGAAACTGTCAGTTTTTAAAAGATCTGCACTCCTGCCAGTCAGCTCAACACCAATCGAGTCTGTTTGCTGCTCAGTCAGAATGGTTTGGTTAAAACTTTATAACAGGCCAAGTGCTGATGGGGATAGTAAGTAGGTAAAAATGTACCATTATCCAAGAGCAGATAGAAAAGACTGATAATCCTAACTAGTTAATAGGGCAGGAGTCTCAATTAGCATGTCTGTGTTTTACTTACAGAATTGAAAGTGTTTCATTTTGGCAACATATGCATTGTTTTTGTGGAACAAACAGGTGGACAAAGTGAATCACGTAGTATGTGTATTCTGCATTTCATTTAATAAAACATTCCTGTGCTTTTTTTCCCTACAACCAGGAATTTTTTTTTCTTTGGTCCAGTTGGGAAAAAAAGTAACAACCCTTGTATATCCCATTCCTCTAGACTACTGTATGCTACAGGAACAAGGACCCCTAGGACAGGTTATAAAGGCCATGGGTAGTGCAGTGAATGCTGTTTATTGTTCAAAGGCTGTATGGCTTCACAACAAACCATCCAGTTGCATTTGCCAAATGGAATATATAATAATGCTTAGTATTCATAGTCTTCAACTAAATATAATGAAAATGTTTAAAAATAAAAACCTGTGAAAATCCATATTTTAAGTGTAAGCTTCCTTTTTCCTTTCATTGCCAAAGCCACAATGTATCACTTAGAAGTCAGAAACAAGAAATAACGGTAGCCCGTACAACCTAGTATTCTGACCTTGAATTATCTCTTGAATTCCACAAGGCTAGACCTGGTCAGTACTTGGATAGGACCTGGTTTTCCTTAAAAGTGTCCCATGAGGAGATGTTAGCAGTTCAGTAGGAATCACTCTTCCCTCTGAATATCAAACCAGTGCCTATGTGTGGAATTAGAAAGTATTGTGATGCTGGAAGTGTCATCTTCCAAGGGGAGCAGTGGGGACAAAAAAAAACTTAACTGGCTTCAAGACTGAGCTTGATAAATTTATGGAGGGGATGGTAAGACAGGACTGTCTACCACTGCATGTGGCCCACTGGCAACTTCCAGGAGCAAAAATCTCCAACTGCCAGAGATGGGCCACTAGATGGGGAAGGCTCTGGGTTACTACAACGTGCAGGAGGTCAGACTAGATGATCATGATGGTCCCTTCTGACCTTAAAGTCTGAGTCTATCTTTTGACTGAGATGTAAAAAAGAGGCACTAATTACTTATTACAAGATTCTATGGCACTTTTCCAAAAAGAGTGGGAGTATTCCTGACCAGAGCCCAACTCTAATTATATGCTGTCCACCTACTCCTAGTTCCAGTTGAAGAATTTATTGTCTATAATTATAAGCAAAGAATGGCTGTTATCTTCCACTCCCGAAATGGTTGGATTTTAGTGGAAGACATACATAAGGCATATTACTTCCGAAGATATTTTATGGTGCCTTTCATTCAAAAAATATCAGACAGCCATGATAAAGACATGGAGAATTCCCATCAGAAAGGGCTTAAATTATATCAGTAGTTCCCAAACTTTTCAGGGTTGCATCCTCCTTACTCCTGTCCACACACCCATCAGCCAAGGCCAGGAGCAGGGCCGCAGCTCCTGGGGGGGGGGGGGGGGGGGAAACATGGATAGGGTAAGGGGGCCGAGGCTGGGGGCAGGTTTGGGGCCAGGAGCAGTCTGCAGCTGGGGGCCAAGGCTGCAGCCAGGGCCAGGCACATGGCTGGGACCCCGGCTGGGGGCGGGGACAAAGCAGAGCTGGGAGCAGAACGAGGCTGGATGATGCTCCCTCTCTGCCCCCTGTGGGGGCTCGCCTGGGCCCTGCTGCACCATCCCCCCCTCCCTGAATGTCCTTCTGTGTCCTTTTAGGGGGGTGCCCCCTAAAGTTTGGTGACCACTGCTATACATCACAGACAAGTTTTCACTGACACTAAATTTCTCCCAGGCTAGTCTGGATGAGTGGCCGGATCCACTAATCTGTCTGTAGGAGATACTACAGAAAATAGCTGGATAAAAAAAAAAAAACCTCACCTGCAATTAACCAAACCATTCACAATGGTGAAATGTGAATTTCAGACCTGGTTCAGCGTCACACCCAATCCAGATAATACATTTCTCTAAAGCTACTAACCAAATTCTTAAATGCTCCACTTTCGTGTTTAAAATGAAAAGATGTCCCTCCCTCCACCCTGATCAGATTACTGCTGTACAAATAGGATTGTAGTATTACAAAGAAAGAATTAATATCAACAAAACTGCAGTTATTAATGGGTAACCAGGCACGTTGTTATTCTTGTATTAACTCTTGTTAGCACTAGCCTGCAACTGTACCACTGTGTTTTGTGTTTTTCAAACATCTTCAAAAGTTATCAGACTGAAAATGGAATTAAAGCCTGCTCATTTGGGGGTATGATCTTATACAGACCCTGCACCACTGGTCACTTAACTCTTTACCACCAACTTCAATGGACACAGAATCAGAGCCCTTATTCTTTGTCTGAAATGAGATTATGGATATTTCTTTATTCAAATCCAGGCTCTGGATTCCCATTTTTCATGCCTACACACTGGATTCTGCTAGCATGAGGAGTTGGATATGAAAAAGGTTAAGTGAAAGAGATAAGGGTAACAGAGAGAAAATACTGCTGTATAAACTGGAAGGTTCTTAGACAAATCTGTCATACTGAAAAAGGAATGTTTTCTAGCTAGTCCTGCTGGAGAGCCTGTAAAAAGGAAGCAAACTGGTTATCGAATGGGGGGAAAATAAACATTCAAAATGTAATACCTTTAATAACTGGGTTTTGAAACCTTCAAGATGGTGACATTTCTCCCCCATAATGATATCTACCTCTCTCAAACTTCCCACTACCGTTGCTTCATAAACCTATTGTAATGACTTATTCTGTTTTACATACCATGGTATTTAACCACCTACATGACACATGTAGTGTCAATTAGAAACAATACGTTTCTCGGAATTTTTTCTTCATCTGGCTCTCTTGAGAGAACTATCACCATGGTCTGCTTGCTCCAGCAGAGGTCACAACTACACAGCTCTGCTCTCTATGTGCACTCAGTCATATCTGATCTACTGTAGTGACTAAAACATGTTAAAATAGGTATGAACTGGAATCCTTCCCCTCCTGTACATCAGTAGAATTGCTTACCAGGTTTCCATTAGGGTCAGTAATTTATACCTGTGCAAAGCTTCTGGTGACAATGTGACTGCATGGATATAATAAACTTAATTTGGCCTCAAGAATCTTTATGATTAGTGATGATGGAAGAAGGAAAGAACCCATCTTGACTCTCCGATCCCAGGCTTTGTTTGATGTACTGGCAGTTTGAAAACAACACCAGGTTTTTGCTTGTTGACCGAGTACCCAAGACACAGAATCACTGAGTGAAAATAGACCTGGAGCTCCAAAATGCTATTTTTACAGCCACTTTTACTCATAGACCCCCACTCCTAGAGTGGATAAAACAGCAAAGAGAAGTATGCCAAGTATGAACATGGCAATAAGTAGGTCTTCACTCTTTGTGATCTTTGATTAAAATTTGTAGCCATATATGATTACAGAAGTATTTATCACGGTTGTCCATTTATCTGGACAAAACACAAATAATTTGCAATGGGCTGTTGGTGACTGTGGTGACCACTAACTCAAAATCAAGATATCAGATAAGGCTTTATCCATAGCTAGAATCAGAACAAATTCAAAAGAGCAACATTAAAATGAAATCCAAATGATAATTTCAAGTTTTAAATTAACATCAGTAGCATACTGGGGGCTTGGGGTAGAGAGAAATAGCCAAATATTTTAGATCTCTCATTGCCACTTTGGGGATAGGGAGAGTGGATGCACTCTATCTTTTTCATAGCTTGTGGTCACCTCTCTTCCCAGCTGCAAGTGCAACCATACTTCCAAATAGGAGTGATACAAGGTTGATTATGTGTCTTTGAAACAGTGTAAAGAAAATCCTTTTGTAAAATTAGTTTGAAAAATTATACTTGTGCTTCTGGAAGCATAATTCATTTTACTTTAGTTTTTGATAAAAACAAGACAATCAAAAGCCAGAAGTTGATTATTATGGTGTTACAGTAATGGAATTAATAAATGTATTAATAATCACATCCGTACTTACACACCACATCATTATCAGCCTCCTCGACACATCATGATTGATGTTCCAGTAGGTGAATGGAAGGAATGTGATGTAAAAAATCTCTTCACCCAAGGCAGATGAAAACTTGAACAGGTAGTAGTAGAAATAATTCTTCACAACATATTTCTGTGCACAATCCTGAAAGTGAAATGTTTTTAGCATGTTTCAGTAAACTTATTGAATTAAATTGTTAGCAGTGCAATTGTCAAGGTTCCTTCTCCACTCTGAACTCTAGGGTACAGTGGGGACCTGCATGAAAGAGCCCCTAAAATTATTCTTACCAGCTTAGATTAAAAACTTCCCCAAGGTACAGACTTTGCCTTGTCCTTGAACCCTATGCTGCCACCACCAAGCGCGTTAAACAAAGAACAGGGAAAGAGCCCACTTGGAGGCATCTTCCCCCAAAATATCCCCCCAAACCCTACACCCCCTTTCCTGGGGAAGGCTTGATAAAAATCCTTACCAATTTGTACAGGTGAACACAGACTCAAACCCTTGGATATTAAGAACAATGAAAAATCAATCAGGTTCTTAAAAGAAGAATTTTAATTAAAGAAAAGGTAAAAGAATCACCTCTGTAAAATCAGGATGGTAAATAATTTACAGGGTAATCAGATTTAAAACATAGAGAATCCCTCTAGGCAAAACCTTAAGTTACAAAAAGGCACAAAAACAGGAATATACATTCCATTCAGCACAGCTTATTTTACCAGCCATTTAACAAAAGGAAATCTAATGCATTTCTAGCTAGATTACTTACTGACAGAGTTTTTGAGACTGCATTCCTGATCTGTTCCTGGCAAAAGCATCACACAGACAGACAGACCCTTTGTTTCCCCCACTCCAGCTTTGAAAGTATCTTGTTTCCTCATTGGTCATTTTGGTCAGGTGCCAGGGAGGTTATTTTAGCTTCTTAACCCTTTACAGGTGAAAGGGGTTTGCCTCTGGTCAGGAAAAATTTTACAGCACTGTATACAGAAAGGTGGTTACCCTTTCCTTTATTTTTATGACAGCAATTTAAACAACTAGGGCTACAAACCAGTTTGCAATTCAAACAGCAATTTGGTGCAGTGAGACTCCAGAACTGTAGGTTTAGTTTTTCATATTAAAGTGAATTTTATAACTAACTGATGCATAGATGAAATGTGTTTTCCCTCCTCCCCCAGTCAGTTATGACAAGTGATATACAGGAAGACAATTAGACACACGCATGCGCAAAGGTTCAGACCTGGACTAGTCTCTGTTTTTGGAGGGTCAGACGTGGAACCCTCCTGGCCCTACATTTAGGGAGCTTATGCAGCTTTAGATAAAAGGAAGAACTATTGCTCTTGACAGAAGAATGTGATGAGAAAGCAAAACCCAAAGATCAAATAGAATAGTAAATAAAGCAACTTGTGTTTTTGCGCTTTGCCTCACTGCCTAAGGAGACTGGATTAACAGTTGCCTTTATACATCCTGAAATTTGCCCTAGGATAGCAAGTGGCATCCCTCCTTTATAAACCATTTTTTACTTTCAACCTCCATTTTCCCCCAACTCTCTTATCCAGAGGGCCACAAACTCTGCCTCTATCTCAACGGGGGATTAAGCAACTGTGGAAATAGCATATCCTCTCCACCATGTGAGGTCCTGACAAGACGCTGCAGTGGGACAAGAAGATTGACGTAACTTTTTAAAAACTCAGTAAATGCTGTGCTTCGTGACAGAGGTAATTTATAAGCTAAATTGCTTAAATTTAACTTGATTCAACTTTTAAAAGGGCTGCATGAGCAGATTGCAAAATGAGGTGGGTATCTGTGAACCAAGGGTAAGAAATAGTTCTCCTATTGTTATGTGCTTTAATACTCCCTGTTTTTCATCCCTCTCCTATTTTTTGTATTTCAATACACAACATGATTCTACAGAACAAAACCTTCCAGAGCACCCATCTCTTATAGTAGGTTATTACCTGTAATTGCCCTTTGAAGATGTACATCTTTAATGTTTGTTTATTGTGGTAGTTCCTAAGGTCCAACCAAGAATGGGCCCCATTGTGCTAGGCACTATACGAACATGGAGTTGCAGATGGTCTCTGCCCTGAAGAGTTTACAATCTAACTATAACAGAGTGAGCAGGGGGAGGAAAGAGAACGTCAAGCAGAGTGAACAATGTGATGGTAAGTGTTCTATTAGTTCTACCATTTTTTTGGTAGGGAGATCAGTTAATGGAAAGAAAAGTGAAGGGAGAGGGGATGCTGAAGGGAAGTGAGCTGAGGGGGTGGCAGGGGAGTGTAGCTGAGATGAAGAGACTTTGGGGGGGGACAGGTGGGAGAGTTGGAGTAAACAGCCAATCAGCGCAGGGCAGAGAACACCCAATCAAAACTGAAATGCTCTGAATGTCCAGCTTTGGCTGCTCGTGCAGCTGCTCCTACCTGCTGAAGGAAGAACAGGAGGACTTGTGGCACCTTACAGACTAACAAATTTATTTGACCATAAGCTTTCGTGGGCTACAGCCCACTTCATCAGATGCATTCAGTGGAAAATACAGTAAGACTATTTTATATACACAGAGAACATGAAACAATGGGTGTTACCATGCACACTATAATGAGAGTGATCAGTTAAAGGTGAGCTATTATCAGCAGAAGAGAGAAGGAAAAACAAAAACAAAAAAAATTCTTTTGTAGTGATGATCAAGATGGGCCATTTCCACAAGTACTCCTGTTCTTTTTGCGGATACAGACTAACACGGCTGCTTCTCTGAAACCTGTCCTACCTGCTGGAGTCTCTGCCTAGCTCCTCTCTGCATTTTTCCCCCCTAAGGCCATGTGGTGAGGAAGGAGGGGAGAGAGGGTTAGGCCCCACCTGACTGCTAGTTTCCCCAGAATGGGGGGGGATCCTCCACTGCACAGTTCTGGGTCTGGAGGGTGTTGGCTGAGGTGTGGCTGCTCAAGGCGATCTACCGCCCCAGGCAAAATATCAGTGTGCCACTCCCCTCCCACAGGCCTAGGGCAGCAGAAATTGGCCCAGCCACCTCTCCATTATGATGGTGGGACAGCTGAGCCAAATTTGAGTAAGCGGCATTGTGTCCTGACACACTGGGTCACACCGGGTCACACCACCATTCAAACTGTGCCCAGATGCCCCTCTGTCATGACAGAGAAAACCTATAATAAACAGCTTACATGTATGTCTAACTTATCAGGCCATCACCCGTCTTCCACATGGAGACCCTGATGCGACTTCTAGTACTACAGGCTCTGTCACAGGGCCTGTCACTTCGTCACAATCTTATGTCAGTTCTTACATTAAGTGTAAGTGACTCCCTCCCTAGGTCAGGGCAGTCGCTTTACATAGTTTCTAGTCCTTTGTCTGCTTGACCTCTTGACCCAGGTCACACTAGTATATGATATTCTCCCTATGCATAAAGCTTCCACAGGTTTATTACCTGTATTTTTTCCATAGTTGGGATTTGCATTAATTATTCCTTGTTGTCTTTAGCTCCTACAGAAGCATTGTTTAGCTTTAGCTCACCCACTAACAATACAATCACAGACAAGCCCATAAAGATACACATAACTTATAAACTTGATACAGTAGTCTTTAAATGTAACATCTGTCATATCTCTCCACATAATCACTGAATATTTCATATTCCCAAAGCATTACATCTGTCACACATAGCATACAAAGCCCCTGACATTTGTCACCAAAACTAGCTTCCAAAAAAACTGAGGACTAAATTGATGATCTATTCGTGGATCTGAAATAGTCATGCTATTCCCACTGCATGAAGATACAAGCCACTGGAAGGGAGAGGTCCACTAGGGGAAGCCCCTGATACTTCCTCAAACTCAGTCCACTGATGTCTCTCACTCCTAACTCTGTGGGAAACTGACAAACTAGCCACACTGCAAAACTCTGGAAATAAGACAGTGGACAGTATAGTCTGGAGACTTATAACTTGTAAAAGAGACAATAAGCATAAAAAACAGATGGATGCACAGATTCATTTCAGCAGAATAACGGTCAAGTGTCAGATGTACCTTTTTAAAAAAATATCACCCACATCAGATGTGGCACATCAGGGAAATGACACAGACTGAGCAGGCAAAGATGTGAAGAGCTGGGTTAAAAATCTCGTTCCTGACTGGAGGGAAATTAGATTTCAGAAGAGAGATAGTACATGAAAGGCACACAGACACTAAGATTGAGTCAAGTCACTACACATTGTGTAAATGGAGTTGGGCAAGGGAGTAGATGCTATATCTGTGCAGCTGAACTCCGCTTATGTTAAAGGATTAATCAATTATGTCTGAGCAGCCATCACCCACCTACACAAAGTAGGCTTAAACATCCATGCGGTTGTGAAATGGTACGAGGAGCAGTTTTCTGACAGTGACAAAAGCTAAATAATTTTTCAGTAGTAGAATTAGTTGGGAGGTTTCCAATGAAATTATTTTTCATCAGAAAATGCTGATTTGTCGAAACCAAAGATTTTGAAGAAACATACTAGTTTCAATGAACCTTTCATTGGGAAAGGTTTCTCAGAACCATGGTGGGGGTGGAGGGGGAAATGACAAAGACCAACCCCAGAATAGTCTATAGACCAGTGGTGAGAGCACTCACTTGAGGTGTGGCCTATTGGCTTTTCTGGGGTAGGTCTCTCTCAATCTCTCCTGTTTGGAGCTGTTCCACTTTCTATTCATTTATTAAATCTGGGTCTCTCACACCCCACATAAGTGTCTTAATCACTGGGCTAGAGTCAGCCTCTCTTTGGCTCAATGAATAATTTACACAAAGTGGAACAGCTCAAACCTCGAATCTGTCAGCCACCCAAGCACTCTCCTCATGGCTATGCCAGGCCCTGCTTTGCCTTGAAGGTTCATAATAGGTGCACTCCAGTCCCCAAGTCCGTTTGAAGCATACTTCTGTAGTATTCTGTTTCTTAGCTACTGAACACTCACAGAATTACGAGGTCAGCTGTCCTCAGGGGAACCATGTACCCACTGGCTTGAATGATCCAATTCAGGGTCAGCTCCTTATACAATACCACCGCATTGAGTCATATTTATAAGTTTATTATCAAAGATTAAGATTTAAGACATAGTGAGTAAGGATAATGGAAACAGAAAGGGTTACATATAAAGTAAAATCATTGT